CCATGGGAGAATTTTTTGTGAGTGGAAGCCATCTGTCCAAGGAAGGCAAGTCCTGGATCTGAGCACAAAACTGACTGTGACAAATACACAACCCAATCCATTTGGCTTTCAGAGAACACAGATTCTCAATCCAGTTCTGAAAGGAAGCTGTTTCTGAGGCAGAGCCCTTCTCTCAATTATAAAGGGACCTCCCTTACTAAAGGAAGCCTTGAGGGAGGAAGGATTAGGCATGCTTTATTCACATGCGCCCTCCAAAACTAATTCCTCCCCCTCCCCAGCCCACAGCAACCCTCAAGTGATTGATTTCTTAGCCCTGCTGAGTGCCTTTGAGTTGAAGTGAAGGAAGGAAATATGACAGAATCCTTAAATAAAGGGGCAGCCTCCACTTACGTATGAGGCGGGGAGACTTGGGAAGGCCATCTCTGAAGGATCATCTCGTAGGCCTAATATCTTCCCCTCATTGTAGGCTGTAAGTCAACTGAAGCTATCAGTGGTCCACTTGCTTCTCTCCCGCCCAGTCCCACCTAGCTCAGGAGGGGTCACACCTTCATGTGTATTAAGGCTGAGCTATTCAGAGATAAGCTAGGGAGTCAAACACCAGTTAGACACATACCAGATTGCTCAGCCCCAGACGAGAAGCCTTTTGTACCCCTTCTGTCCAGCAAGGGCCAATGGCCAGCCAGGGTGAGAGAGAACAAGCTGGAGTTTAAGAATATTCGCGGCCAGGAGAATTTTCCATGGTGCACTTCCGATGGCTCCTCACTTGGAGCTGCTGCACAGAGACCCTAGAGGAACCAGGTTCTGTCATGGTGACTCCTGAGCCTGTCTGGCTTTGTATCCTGAGGGTTCAAATATCCACAAGCTCATTCTCAGCCAGTTTGAGGAGGAGGCATGGATCATTTTCATTCCCAATACTTTTCCTGCATGGTTAGGTGCTCTCTACCATATGAAGAACTTCCTTTTATCCTCCCCCTTGCCTGCTTAGGTTCCCACAGTGCATGGGCAGAGGGAACATCTCCTTTGCAAAGATGAAGATCTAAAAGAGCATATGCAGAGTGTTGCCACAAATGAACCATAGCCAGTTCTTACATATCTGAGAGTAGGAAGAATCAAAAGTTTTTCAGGGCAGAGGGTGCACCTCACATTTTAGAAATACAGTGCTGGAAATAAGGACTACCAAATACCACCTCTTTCCTAGCTTTATTCTTTAATTACAGTATATCCTTCTATTTACTGACACTTCTTCTGTACGGTACTTTCCATATACAGTCAGCAGCCCGTGATTTAATAATAGGAAGCGCGGATCACTTTTCCCAATGCCGAGATAGCTAAGTCTTGTAAATAAGTATCTTCCCCATACAGGTAGCTGAATCAGAGCTCAAGGAAAGATATTTCCTTTTATTTTTATACTCACTGTTTGCAGTTTGGAATTAAAGGAGCCTGGATCTTTTCAAGAGAGCTCTGCAGATGTACAATGTTCTAAAATTGAGAGGAAGAATTTGTCCACTGGAAGTGGCATCCCTAGAACAGGAGGGAAAAGGTCCAAAGTGTTTCACAGCTGTTCTGGAGAAGTTCACAAAGCAGGTTTCAGGATTTGTTGGTCAACATGAATGCGTCTTCATGCAGTTTAATTCCATGCACATTCAGAGTATAGTCTAGTGGTTAGAATTAATCCAGCCAGGCCTGGTTTGACTCACTACTTACTTGTGATGTTTGTTGGGTGATACTGGCTCTCTCTGTGTGCCCAGCCTACCTCACACACTTGCTATCAGCATAAAAGTTTGGGGAAAGACATCTATGCTTTTTCTTGAGGTCAACTTCCTCTTAGTCATGAGTTCAAGCTAATTAAGCAATGTACCGTGTTTACATGTTTCTTTGGAAGCAAGGCCCATTGACTTCCATCAGGCATCCTCTCAGATATGTGACTACTGGACTGCAGCAAATTTACAGCCCTGTACACACTTACCAGGGAATAAACACTATTGATTTCAATGGGACTTTCTTCCACCTAAACATGCATTGGATTGCATTGTAAGGATGAAGGCAGGTGGGAGATAAAGCTTGCAGAGCATCCCTGAGCCAGGTTTCCTTCCAGCTTCTCAATCTGAGAGATGTGCATGCTGCCAAATTGAGCACTGGCTTGGTCAATCAGCAGTTTTGCTCTTTCCTGTGCTTCTGGTGGCCTGTCCACTTGTTGACTTTTTAAAAGCTTCCCATAAGCACCTTTGCAATTTGAGAAAGCATAGTGCGTGTCAGCAAAGCATGGCTGCTCTGAGAGGCAACCTGTTCATGAAATGCTTGCCAGTCACCCATTTTACAGAAGTCCAACAGGGGAGACTGGGAGACAGATAATTTGTTCAACAGACTGAGGACACAACAGGTATGGAGGGATGGTCTACTCACATTATGAAGGAGAGAGAGATTTCTTGGGATCATCCTTCAGGATGGGAAGAAGATGTCCAGTATTGTGTACAACCTGAAAAGCATTTTTAAGAGCTCATGCAAGAGAGGAAACTCTTTAGACTGGGAGAAAAGAGAATGCATTCAAGGCAACCTCACTGCTCTAAAAATATTTCTGAACATTCAATGTTTGAGGCCTACTTTAAGGAGGTTAATGTGGTTGGTTCAGAAAACTGCAGAAATTTCTTCCCCTTGCTATAACTTCTGGATCTTTTCTTTTTCAAGAATGCCATGGTCATCCAATTTGTGTCATTTGTGTCATGGTCATCCAATCCCTTTTCCACTGGCCTCCTGCTACTTTCATCAGCTAGCTCTTTTTTCTTTGCGCTATTTTGTTGATGTTTTAGTGAAAGCCAAACCAAGACAATTTTAGATCCTGGAAACTGGTGACTTTGTACTTCTCACTCAACATCCTTCCGATCGTCAAGGTTTTGATGCAATGAAACCATCTTTGTTTTTCAAGTGGAAGTGCATAAGGGAGTCAATATGACAATTAAATGCTTGGAAAAAACCCAAGCACTTCATAGTGGGAGGAAGAAACCAACATATACAGGATTCATATAAAGAGTAGGACCAGGACAACAAGATTTAAGTCAAAAATAAAGGGACCAGGCAATACTATGCATATGCTGGATCGGGGGAGAAACTGCTACTACACCAACAGAACACCAGCAGATACTACTCCTTCACAAGAAGAAAATAGCAAAATGGCAGAAATTATGAGAGGGGAAACTCAGTCTTTATGGAAAACACATAAAGGGTGTTTCCAGATGAGGCTTTTACTGTGCAATTGCACTGTCTCATTCACTGAACTTTCCAGAGGTCCAGACCCATTTGTGGCCCTTACCTACTGCTTTTTCTGTTATTTCTCTTATCAGAAAAAATCTACTAAGGAAAAAAAAAGATGGAATAGCTCATGATGCCTTTTGAGTGTTAGCACTGGAAACCCACCATCTGGAAGCATCTGAAGTATAGAACCAGGGCAGGAAGATTAAAATGAGGAAGAAAAATAAATTTGTCAAGACTTACGTTGTCAACACAGGATGGGCCTGTGTGGTGACCTGGTGGCTGTAGGTGACCCCATCTGAGGGTACAAGGTCTGGTGCAGCAGGGCCTACTGGTACCAGCTGCTGCCACTAATAGTAAAACAGATCCATTCCCCTCTGTCCGCAAGTGTTCTTTGTCCTTTGGAGCAGACTGACTAAGGATCCTACTTCTTTGCAGCCCACTTATGTCCTTCGGGGTTGTGCCAATCTTAGGGTTGGTTCCTCTGAGATTTCAGAGGAATCTTTTGTCTTTTGTCTGTTGAGCATCAAAAATGGCCCAGCTCTGAGATGGAGGCTGAAAGATTCCTATTGTCCAGGTACTTGACCACTTGGGAGTCTAGAGCAGGGGTCTCAAACTCATGGCCCGCGGGCCAATTGCTGGGATGGGCAGGGCACGGGGAGGGGCCCTGCGGCCTTCAAAGCGCCGGCGGCACCCGGGCCGGCCGTGGGATGAGCGGCCCACCACCACTGCGGTGGTGGAATACTTGATGCGGCCCAGCCTCACCTAGACTCTACTTCCAGCAGCCCCCAGGTAAGTTGAGTTTGAGACCCCTGGTCTAGAGGTTTCCTAAGTGGTAGTGCTTAAGCTCCCAATGACCTCAGCTAAGTCATCTGCACTGGAAAAGAGAAGTTTCTGTCACTTGGACCTGGGCAAGGTGGAGTCTTTATGGCCCAGCTGCATGGGCTACTGTAGGCCAACTATACTAGCCTGACTGTGTACAATCAAGTTAAATGGTTATTTCAGACCACAGTGTTTGGCCATCCGTACTGATGAAGTAGTGCTCCCAAATCCTCTTGCAATATTCCAGTGAAAGATGGAGGCCACTTGGATCATTCAGACCCTCTCCAAGGGAAGCCAAGTTATACCCCTCAGGTTCAACAGCAGTCAAGGAGGTGTCTGGAGCTGTCCCTGTAGGAATCCTTGGAAGCAAGGGTGCTTCTGGGAAGAGGGCTCCTAGCACGAGCAATCAGAGACCTTGTGAATCCATCCTGCCTTTTTCTCCTTAACAGTAAGGAAAAAATATGGAAGCAGCAGCATGAAAATCTGAGAGGGTTATGAGCAGGCGATGATGTTGTCTGGACTCCTGCAAATGGATCAGGGCAACCACTCAATGCAAGTCCCTGGAAGCACCTTAAGTTTGATTGAACCAAGTAAGACTTCCTTCCCCATAAACAGGTATGTAGAATCATGTTTTTCCACAGGGCTCCTGTCCTGATGTGTAGCTGCCCCTGAGGTGCTGTTGCAGGACTCTTGGATGCAGGATAATAGTTCCCAGTTGAGGAAGAGAAATTTGAAGTCAAAAGAGCATTCGTTTTTGCTGATACCACTTGGGCTGAGCCGCTTAGGTGCCTGAAGTTCACTCCCTGATTATTGTGTGCAGAAAAGCTACATTCCCTTTCCCAAGACAGGGCAAAGTGCCAGACAGGTCTGGGCCCATCCCACTGTCAGCCACACCAGGGAGGCGTGGTGCAAGGACCTGAACTTCCTCTTAGCATTTCATAATCTCCAGTTCCAGCTCTGCATCAGCCCCGCTCAAGAGCAGAGGGATGAGTAGCTGTGCAGAGAACCTGAAGGGCTTCCTAGCCCGAGTAGAGGCTAAGGCAAGTCAGGAGAAGGGGCAGCTAGCTGAAGAATTCCAGGTGAGTTCTTTTCCTAGGGGAAGAAGAGGGTAGCCCAGGCAAAAAGAAGAAACCTTGCTTTTCCCTGCAGTTTGCCTCTCAATTTGCATTTTCCCCTGTTCATCCCAGCCAGGGATTCCCCTCACTAAAGTGAGCTGAAGACAAAATCACCTGTATTCTCCCTTACTGCCAGGACTTCCATGTTTTTACAACTCCACAGCAGGCAGAAATTCAACTGGCAGGGCTCTTTCTGCCTCTGCTTCTCCACTCTAGCAAGTGTGATATGTTGAGTATCTGCCTGCCTGCTTTGCATTAATTCAAGCAAGGAAGCATCACAAAGAGGAGAGAAAGGAAGGGGAAGGAGCGGTGAATTACCTGGTAATTAATTTTGTGGAACTGCTATACTGGAATGTCATTCTGCTCCTGTACCATATTTTCCCTGTGTCAGAACATGGTCACGGTCTCGATTTTGCCCTGGAGGGAAGCCTAGTCCCTTTTTCTTCCCCCCAGCTATAATTCAGCCATTCTGTCTTTTCCCTTTCCCTCTCCCTCTGTGTTTTGTGTTGTGTGTATTGGGGGGACCCATCTGCCCTTGCTCAAGACAGTTTCCTGAATCTGTGATGGTGTGAGGGAGGGAGGAAGTGAGGGCTGGTGCATTGTAGGTGCTTAGAAAGCCTTGAGACCTGCTCTTGCTGCAAGACACGCCCCATGTTTCAGCCACTGCAGGGATGTACTCTGTCTGCTGCCTTGCATTCATTGCAAACTGTCTAGTCTCAGCCTGAAACTGTGGGCAAGAATCACAGGGAGGAACCACATCTGTATTACAGCCAAGGATGGGTGTCCATTTGGCCCATGGAGTAGTGTTTCCTTGCAAGGATACAGCAGGAATTGTATTTCCTTCTAAATTCCATGTTCTACATACTCTTGTACCATCTCCAGCCCACCTGGCCAATAGAGTGGAAGTCCAAGACACCTGGAAAACACTAGATTGAGAAGGCTCCAGTATGGAACCCGATTAACTGTCTCGTCTTTCTGCAAAGAATCTCAGGAGTGGTAGTGCTTAATGTGAACACTGTGAAAGAAGTCGCCAGTCTATTTGTGGGACAACTGTTCTCAGCCCTTCTTGGCTGGGAACCCTAACAAGTAAAGAAGTTTGGAACTGGCCTAGATCAGTAGCATGTACATGGATGCTAGAAGCTCCAAGAACTGAGAAGCAAGTTGGAGGGAGGGGCTACAAAAACCTATTTGTGAACTGGCCTCTCCATATTCTGTGACATTCTAGTGTGAATAAGAACTGCAACTCAGGATGAAGGAGATGTAGGCTGGACTCACCACCAACAGAGAACAGGATTTGCCCCCAAGCCCAGTGTCTAGGCAACATCTCTGTAGGCACACCAAGAAGCATTGCCCCCAGTATCCCTATAGTATACACGCTTATCCATCATAGCAATGATAGATACTTTGACAGAAATCAATAACCATGTAAAATTGAGAATTCTGGTGCTTCTAGGTTGTGTAATTGGCCAGCCTCATTTACAGAATTTTACAGGGGTCCCAATACCATTTTCTACTTGTAACTCTTCTGGATTTTCCAACACCTGTTTCTCCCATCTTTTTACTTACTACATTAAATTAGCAGAAGGAAAAAAGGCAGAGCACAATGTATAAGAAGGCTGTATAATACCTTCTTAATGTCAGCTTTAAGAGCGGTCTATCTGGAAGTGTACTTGACTGTGCCATGTAAAACTGGGGCTTGGTTGTCACCTGTTCCTGAGATGGTTTGTTTCCAGCTGATTGAGCCAACATGGCTTTTCCATGCCCAGCCAGACAGCTGAGAAGATGAGTCCTTCCAACACTTTCCCCATCAGTTGCTGCGTATCATGTGCCAAGATGTCCCAGAACTGGCCACCTCATGGATAAGTTGACTCTGAAAGGGCTCAGCGGTTGCTTAGCTTGCTGGGGACAGAGAACCGTCCCAATCCGAACTGGGAGGCAAGGAAAGCAGCTGCCTTCAGCATTTTTATCAATTTTATAAACATCTTTGTCTCTTGAGGTACAAGGAGTAGAACAGGGATGGCTTCCCCCACTGCGTAGTCAATCAGTCCTGCAAATTCCAAAGGACTTTCTAGTAAAAACACTTGAGTCCACAGATCATGCTTTCATTGCCATCCTATAATACTGTAATAATATGGCTGATAGGATATTTCCTTGTCCGTTGTGAGTGGCTTTAAATACATTTTATGAGTGGACCAGCACTACCTTGAACTAGCGTGAGAGAACAGACATCCTCTGGAAGCTATATGGTATGCAGAGGGAAAGCCTCAACAGACAATGGGGATCCAGTCTAATTAAATGGACTTTTCCCTTAAAATAAGGAACTCAGCAAACCTGTTTGACCAGCCAGCTTTGCAGTATGTCCTGGGTATGAAATTTAAGTACAAGGATTGTGAGCAGCTGGGAAGGATCATAAGCATTTGGGAAGCAGCTGCCTTGAATAATGTGTGAGTTCCAGCGGATGGAACAAGAGTGCTCTGAGATGGCCGAGCTTTCTGAGACCCATGCTACACACCCCCACAGGCATTTTAGCAGTGCCTCAATCTTCCCTTCACATAAAAACATACACCACCTGTTGCATTTTGCTAGTCAAATCATCAAAAGAAAACTGAAAGAAAAAAGGATTGTGTTGTATAAACTTGAAGTGGGAGGTATGCATGTTCCGCTTCTCCACCTCTTCCTCCTTTTCAGGCCAGTTGCCAGAAAAAAAAATGAATGAAGAGTTGCACTGGTTTCTAGTCTTTTTCTGAACCCAGTTCAAAGTCCTGGTTTTGATCTTTAAAGCTCTTCACAGATTAGGAGCAAGAAGCTGGAAGGATCAACTTGCAGGAATGTGTCAGAATGCCTTCTGAGCCAAATTGCCCCCAAAAGTTATTTGCTCTTGGCATAGATTTGAAAGTGTGCAAAAGTAAAATAACATGCTGGTTTAAAAAAAATCAGTTCCGTCAATGAACAGATGACAGAATGAAAGACCCCTGGCAGTGAAACTCAAACATGTGCATCCCTAGCAACCTGTTTTCATATGTGCCATCTCATATAGGGGAATCCTCAGCAGAATGTGTCTTCAACATCTGAGGTGGGCATGTGGCTACCTGGGCACTGGCCTTCCCCACGATAGTGGTCCACCCAGCACCTGCATTTTGTCCTTTCAGCGGAGGTCACTGTCAGAGCCTTCCTTTGATCTAGTCTGATCTGCAATATTTGCATTTTAATTGCGATTGTATTTTGTTTTATGTAGACTACCTAGGATGGGATAATAAGATTCATGATAAATAATATAGAATATTACAAAGGGGGCAAGGACATGCCACCACCTCACCATCTTTTTTCCAAGTTACATACTGTAGAGGAACTGACAAATTTGCACCAGGCTCTGCCTTTAGACCTATCAACAACTGCTGGGTTCTGACCCCCTGACTTTCCACATGTGTACCTCCTCTGTGTCCTGCCACTGTTCCCATCCATGTACCCAAAATAATTATTTCAGGAAATAGAAACCATAAATGAAACTGCTTGCTGATTTATACAGAAAAAGAAAATAGGAAACTTTCCCTACTGACTTCTCAATTTTATAAAAAGGGCAAAAACTCTTTCAGCCCAAGTGCTTAGATCTATTACAAAAAAAACTCCTGAGGTCTATATTCTAACAGTAGATGGTAACAGGATCACCATCATTGCTGCAATCTTTTGCTGCCAGTAACTAGGCCTTAGGAGAATCATTTCAGGAAATACCAAAGAATTGGAGGGTACAGGAACGGTGTGAGACCTTCTGGGGTTTCTAGACTTGACCTCCTGACCTGAAGTTCTATGCCTGGTTTACTGCCATACAATCCAGCTATTTCCACTGACTTCATCAATAGGGAAGGAAATCTTTAACCCACTCACCAACTCCCACTTTCTCATCCAATGCTGATCATCCATAATCCTTCTAGGTCCAAACACTTCCATTCCAGCTACAGTCATTATGTTTCATTTGTTCCTGAGAGACAGAACATGACCCAAAGCCTCATGGCTCAGCTAGACTAGGCTTGGCTCAGCTGATCTTCACCTGAAGCAGATGTTTGCAATCTCATGCTCCTGCCAGCTGAGGCTGCTCACTCTTATCGGCCATGTCATTTAGGATAATAGCTCTGTGCTGTTGTGTAATCTGCCCCATTTCCTGAACTCTGTCTTAGCATTTGCTAGGGACCTCTTGCCCCCTTCAAGCCTGGCCTTGCTGGGCTGTGTTAAGCGGCAGACCCAGAAAGGCCAGCAGGGAAAGACACACCTAGAATCAATTGGCAAGAAAGTCTCTCCATGAGCTGAAATGACATCTCTGCTGTGTCTGGCCAATGCAGCTGCAGAAATCTTGGTCCTGCTGGGAGTATTGCCACATTGTGTACCAACCGTTGTGCAACAGTCCCTTATAGAACATGTAAAACAAAGGAGCTCAACATTAATAATGCAAATTATATTTATATCCTGTCTTTTCTTCCAAAGAGGCAGCAAACATGAACCTTCTCTCCATTTTATTCTTATAATAATCCCATGAGGTATGCATGGCTGAGACCCAAGAACTGACTGGTCTTACCTTGGAAATGCCTGCTATTATTTTTGTGGTCCAAGCAGTAAAAGCATGTTCCACAGAGATATTAAAGAAGGTGGAAAACCAGAAAGCTCCAGGTTCTTCTAGGTTCCACCCATGATCTAACAGGTTCTGCCTTGGTTCACCCTCTGTTGCTGCCCTTGAGCCAACACACTCCCTGTTCTACCCCCACCCAGGCATCTGTAATTTACACTAGGGATGCAGAATGCTTGACCCAAAGGTTTTCCTCTCCGGTCCCAGTCTGGCACTCCAAGTTTCCCCAGGTGGCCGTGCCCCTTCCTTTGTCCTCCCCCACTGCCCCCCCCCCAACCACCAGTAATTGCATGGGTTCTTGGCTTTTGTGCATATGTGTTTAAATAAAATAAAGTTCGCCTCTGGCCAC